CTGATACAGATATATCTGATTCCTGTGGGTGCTGAGGAGCTTGGGGGCATGGCCAGCACAGCACCCATTCTCAGGTTGTCAGGTAACATTTTCTTTTTGATACCCGCACTCTTCAGAGATCTTAGAGTTAGCCCAAGCCACTTTTTTCTCTAGATCAGGTGTGTAACACTGGGCACTGCATGAAGAGAGCTTTGGATCAGACTGCGAGATCTAGAGGTCCTGATCTCACTGTCTGATCCAAAGATGATTAGTTGAATATGAGTCAGCAGTGCCCTGGCAGCCAGGAGGGCCAGTCGTGTCCTAGGGGGCATCAGCCCAGCCTGATGCATGGCCAGCCGGGCAAGGGAGGGGATTTTCTGCTCTGCTCTGCAGCTGCCTCACCTGGAATATTGCGTGCAGTTTGAATCACCTCAATAAAAGAACGGTGTAAACATACTGGAGTTTATCAGGAGGAGGACAACCAAGATAGAGAAAGGTCTTGAGGGCTTTGGGGGGACCTCACTGCATGTACATCTTTTTCATGGGGATTTTGGTTGGGATAGAGCTAATTTTCTTCACAGTAGCAGGCATGGAGCTGTGTTTTGGATCTGTGCTGGAAACAGTGTTGGTAATAACAGAGATGTTTGCATTATTGCTGAGCAGAGCTGAGAGTCAAGGCATTTTTGCTCCTCACCCCACCTCACCAGCAAGAAGGCCAGAGGTGCACAAGAAGCTGGGAGGGGACACAGCCAGGACAGCTGACCCGAGCTGACCACAGGGCTATCCCATACCATGCTCAGTATACAAAGCTGGAAGAGAGAAGGCAGGGGACATTCAGAATGATGACATTTGTCTTCCTGAGTCACGGTTACATGTGATGGGGCCCGGCTCTCCTGGGAATGGCTGAACACCTGCCTGCACAGAGGAAGTGGTAGATAAATTCCTTGTTTTGCTTTGCTTGCATGCATGGCTTTTGCTTTACCTATTAGTCTTTATCTCAAACCATGAGTTTTCCCTCGCATCCTTCTGATTCTCTTCCCCATCCCACTAGGGGAGAGTGAGCAAGCAGCGGTTAAACCCTGCGTCAGAGGAACAGTACTGCATCAGGGAAAGTTCAGGTTGGACACTGGGAAAAAGTTGTTCACCCAGAGGGTGGTCAGTTCCTGGAACAGGCTCCCCAAGGAAGCAGTCATGTCACCAAGCCTGTCAAGAGTTAAGAAGGATCTGGGTGAAGACTGTAGTCATATGGTTTGGTGATACATAGTTCTGCGAACAGTTAACTTGGACTCAATGATACTCATGCATCCCTTCCAACTCATTTGTGATCATGTATTAGACCACATGAACTGAGCACATGCCTGTGCAGAAGAAATTCACATCTTTCTTTCCAATCAGATGGCCCGCAGATCATTTGTTGCAGAGGTCATACTGAATTTCCCTTGCCCTGCTGGGTGGGATATTTAGCACTTAACAGGTCAGCTTCCTCTTTGGAACCTGTGTCTGTTCGGCACTAGGATGGCAAAAAATGAAACAGAGGAATCAAACAGAAACAGAGCACGAACAAGACCCTGAAGCACAGGGAAGCTGAGGGAGTGCACAGGAAGACAGAACTAGTCAGTGGAAGAACCAGGTCTTGAGGTCTGGAACTGTGAAGTAGCTTAAAGATACATAATTAAGAAATAGCCCCAGAGACATCTGTAACTACTCGCTAACATCAGTCAAGGACAGTGGCTTGGAATCAGACTTCAGGTATTAGAGAAAAAAAAAAATTACTGTGGGGTTGGGGAGGCACAGAAACAGGTTGCCCAGCACAGTTGTGGATAACCCATCCATGGAAGCGTTTAAGGCTGGGTTGGATGGGATGTCATGATATTTTTCAAAACCCAGAATCCCAGAAGACAAAAAAAGAACACACACGCAATCCTAATAAAGAAATGGATATTTTGTTTACTTAAAACTGAACTCCAAATAGTTTTGCCTGTAGAAACAATTATTTACAATATTATGTCAATATAGCTAGTTTCCACCCTTGCAACATTTATGCTGATGCTTCAGTTCTAAATAGCTTTTTTTGTTTCTTCCTCTGAATTTTGCGTAGTTTCTTTTTATCTTTAACAATTGGCTTTGACTCTGGTTTCACAAGCTGTATTTCCACTGGCTTTTCTTCAGCTGGAGTTTCAAAGACCACTTCGGTAGGATCTTCTTTAACAAGGACCTTACTCGCTTTTTTCTTCTCCTTTTGCACTTCTTTCACATGCTGTTTCTCTCTAAACTTAGCTGCCACTGACAATCTTATCAGCCGTCGATGCTATAAGAATTTAAATTTGAACATGTTTCAAATAAGCAATAGGAAGAAACCCAGTATTAAATAAACGTGGTAATTTCTCTGCTTAGTGGTCAAAATCCTCAGTGTAATGCCATCTTTTCAGTGACATCACTTCTGCATTCATTCCATGCTCACAGGATTACAAATTAAAAAATTACTCTGTTCTCGAATTATTATCAGTTGGGGCTCTTTTCTATGAAGGGTCTTGGAGAAGGGCATGTGTGATACTCCTGCAGAGACAGACTGCAAGATTGGTTTTCAAATAAGTTGCTGAATGAAAGAGAAAACAAAGAACTGCTTACCATATTTGGGGACTGGTAATGAGGATTTTCATACAGAGTTGGTCCTCCAAAGCTACCTTGGAAGATTTTTATGAGGTTCAGGACAAAACGAGGCCCAATTTCTACTAGAGATGCATCTTCTTCTATTATCTGCAATAAAAAGAAGACTTTCTTAAATTCTCATGGATCAAATGGCAGTATATGACCTTGTTGGCACCTTACACATGATAACGCACAACTGAATTTAAATCTGAGATATGGTGCCCCTGAAGCTGATAAGCTAGACTTGTATAAACCCAGTTCTGTACATAAAGCAGGTCTTTTAGGTTCGAGTCAGCTTTTAGAGAGTACTAGGTATTTGTGAATTCTTCCTTTAGAAAGTAAGCTCCAGCTCACTTTGGGTCAAAGCAGCAAGTAAGGTTACAGTGCAAAGTGTAGGCTTTGTAGGGTAGTACTTCCCATTACCAAGACATCCATCACAGAACCACAACTCACTGAATGCAGGTTGATTGAACCAGATCTCTCCAGAGATACAGGAAAAGGTAAGTCATTTCAGGACTGAATCTGGAAGCACTAGAGACTGGCATATCCAAATAATAATAATAATGATTCTTCTCACTTTATTTTAATTAATAGATTTGATATGAAATTACTCCACAGAGCTCCTTCTGAAGAGCTAAGCGAGACCACTAACCTGGTAATTCCGAAACCAGATCCTCTCATCTGTAATGGTGAAGGTGAAAACATGATCGACAAAAGGTTGGCTTTTGGGGTGATACTGTGGTGTGCTAAATATCTGTAATAAGAGGAAGCATTTCTGAGTATCTACAGTTTAAGAGGTCAAGCATAAATGGCTCAGTTTAAATTCGTTTTAATTTACTAAGATCCCAATCCCAGGTTACACTTCAAAATTCAAAACTTAAGAACAAGTATTCAAGTCACATTAAGAATATGACCCAAATATCTTGAGGACTTTTTGAAAGTTTAGAAGTGTAAAACTGCTACTTGAAAAAACACTCGAGATTTTTAAGTATGTTGCCAAAAAACATTTCCAATGAAGAAGAAACACTGGACAGCAGAACTACAGACTGACCTGAATAAACAATTCTTTTAGCAGGGCATAGTGTGGCTCCTTGTCAAATATCTACAAAAAATAAAAATTGAATTTTACACACAAATCTAAATGCAATAGTCATGCAAAGAGAACAAAAGCAAAGCCAATGAAATGAAAACTATACTTACTGGATCAAAAGATAAGAGGGGCCGTGAGCCCCTTAGGCAATTTCCTGTCATCTTCAATTCAGCCAGTGTGTGAACTACAGTGATTTTTAAAAAGGTATATCATTTTAGTACTTACAGAAAACTGTACGAAGAAGCAAGAGTACAAACACAATAATGTCAACCAGCTTACCATTCTGCACTAAGAATTTAGCTGACGGTCCCTGTGGTGTGTTTGAAAGCCTGCGGAGGACAGGGGGTGGGGAAGACAGAAAAGAAAAACATTAACAGCAGCCAGAAGGTATGCTGGATTTCCACAGTACACCCTCACTCCTGTATTGAAGTAATTTTGGTTGCTTTCATAACATTATCGAGTTCCTTTAACATACTCATAAATACCTGCTTTCTAAATAATTTTATAACATACTTCTGTAAACGGTCTACAAAAGCTGGTCATGCATTGTAAACTTGCACTATCCACAGAAGTGCAATATTAGAACAGATTTAACTAAGCAACGCTATTTCATGCATCTTCACTATTACAGTAAGAAACTTAAGCTAAAACTGAAGCATCTGCAGCTATATATAGAAATGTAACAAAACATAACATTTCCTTACCACATATAGAGATCCTGTTTCTTTTTCGCTTCAAAAAAGATGCACTTATTGCAGTTTTTCATTTCACACACCTAAACAAGATGTTCAAATTAGCTGTTTACAAACATTTTGAAGATATTACCGAAAACTTTCCACATTCGTCACTATGAATGTTCAAAAGCAAAGGTTTTGACTTAATAAATTCCACCTAATGATCCCAAAACTTTAGCTGAAGCACTTGTTTTGCTGACAAACCTCACATAATTATTAAAAAGAAAAATAACTTCATTAAAGCTACAAACAACCTGATAAGCTCTCCAGGCATAAACTTGAGAGCAGCAGCTGTAACATTACGTCCTAGGTTCAGGACTACCACTGTCCTACTACACTGTTTGAGCTGGCTGCATATTTGCGTCCTGCATTCTTCAAGTATGAACTATGCTACACCTCTCACCTACATAGAAGGTTTTATTTCTTCATGATGAAAATCTACATTTAATTAGAAGTTTAATTTTGGTTTCATTAATCAAAATTCAACTTCCTGTTTTAACACAAGTGTTTTCAAATATCAGTAGTTTTCACCTATGAAGTTATACAACTCCTATAACTAGTATGAGATCCTCTGAACTTGGCTGCCCTTTTCCCTTGCACATTGGATTTTCATAGAAAATTTAAAAAAGAAAATAAGCACTAAAAAGATCCTTGGTTACCTCATTAATTACAAATAACTGGTCTTTACGGTCCATTTTAGTATCTGGAAGATAAGAACATTTATGAGGCTGGAAAGACAATTTAACAAAAGACATTCTTTTAACAGTCAGTCCTTTTTCAAGAATTTTACTAGTTTATAAATGAAAGATTAACCATCAAGTGGTTTCAGTCCTGTTATGGAATAAACAAGCATAGCAGCAAAACTGTGCACTTGCAGGACTGATGCCACAAGATTAATTTCCCAGGAAATATTAGGATATGACAGGTCCTGTATTTGTTGGCTCAAAAGGGGTTTGGTGTTTGCTTAAGATACAAGTTTCATTAAAACACTTATGTACCATATTCAAAAAAAAAAAGAACAGGTTGCTAGAAGTTCTTGGTTTAAAAGTATTCTGAAAATATAACCTAGGAATGATGCTTAACCCTACCTGCTTTAGAGTGAGGCATCAATGTTCTTAAGTCTTGCATTAGGTGCCTTGTTCTGAAATTAATTCCACGAGAGGAGAATATCAGCACTCGCTCCTTATTCTTCCATTTACCCTAAGAAAAAGACATAAAAGTTACCTGGGAAGTTTCTAGCCTTAATAATACTACAACACAGCAAAAATAAATGTTCGGACGGTAAGTACAAAACCCACATTTGTTATTATCTGTCCACCCAGCAAGAGCAGTGGCTTCCCTAGAGAATGCAGGGGCCTTGCTTTTACAGGAGGAACTGTCCTCCATCCTGCTCCAGTGTGCTCCCAGATAAAGCCTTTCCCTCGCACCACAGCATTAAGAAGCCACTTATTCACAAAAAGCACCTCTCCTTCCCTGCAAAACGAGCTCAGGTACAGCCCCAGAGCACAATTCCGCCTTTCCTACCCACGAGCATCCGACGAAATCTCTGCCCTACACGTGCTACTCTTTGTTTTTCTTGTAAGGAACCTATAACGCAATTACTGAACGCTCCTCAGGATGATTCCTAAATGGAACAGGCACCGTTTCCATATACCTTTTGTGTACAACAGAATTACCCAACTCTTCCAAACACTTCTGAGATCACGGTAACCCATCTTATTTACACCGACCAGAACAACGCCCTTCGCGTACCCTCACAGACACACCACACCACCGCCTTACTCCTACTCGCGCTGGCATTATAAAAGATTATGACTAAGCTAAGCAGCGGTGTTCCCGCAGGCAGCCCGAGCGCCGGCACCCCGGGGAGGCCGAACTCCTCGGGAGGAGGCGCGCTCTCCCGGCGGTACCTGGGACACGGGCGGCGGGATGCTGTATTCCTGCGGGGCTCCGGCCGGGGCCGCCTCTGCCTCTGCCGCGCTGGGGCCGGTCCTGGCGCGCTTCCCCTTTCCCGGCGGGAGCGCCTCACGCTTCCTCTTCCCCGCCGCCATCTCGCCCCACGCCGCGCACGCCGCTCCCGCCCTTCCTGCGCTCGCCACTTCCTCCGCTCCCGCTTCCTGCGCCGCCCCTTCCGTCCCGCCCCGCTCCCGTCCCTCCTCTCCCGGCATCCAGACATGTCGTTCTCGGCGCCGCCGCCTGCCAGCGGCGAGCCCTACGTGCTGTCCGCCAGCCTGGACAACGCGCGGCACCTCTCCAGCCTCCTGCGGGCCGTGCACTTCCAGGACCACGCCACGTGCTTCGCCACGGCCAGCGGGCTGCGCGTGACCGTGGAGGATGCCAAGTGCATCCAGGCCAACGCCTTCATCCAGGTGGGACATCGGCGAGGCGGAGGGCACCGCTCTGGGAGACCTTAGAAAGCTCCCGGTTACCGCATGTGTCCGGTTCTGGGCTCCTCAGCACAAGAAGGACAAGGAACCACTGGAGAGAGTCCAGCGGAGCCCACAAAGATAATTAAGGGTCTGGAGCATCTCTCTTATGAGGAGAGACTGCGGGAGCTGGGCCTGCTTAGGGAAGAGAAAACTGAGAAGGGATTTCATTAGTGCATATAAATATCTCAAAAGCAGGTGCCAGGAGGGTGGTGACAGACTCTTTCCAGTGGTGCCCAGCGACAGGACAAGGAGCAATGGCCATAAACTAAAACACAAGAAGTTCCACCTCAACATGGGGAAGAACTTCTTTACATTGAGGGTGGCGGGGCACTGGAACAGTTGCACAGGGGGATCGTGGAGTCTCCCTCTTTGGAGGTATTCAACACCCCCCTGGATGTGTTCCTGTATCACCTGCAGTAGGTGACCATGCCTTGACCGAGGTCGCTGAGATCCAGCGATCCCTTCCAACCCTAAGAACCCTGTGATTCTGTGTATACCCGCAGAGAAGGGGAGACTTTGGTCACAGTGAGGCTGCCGTGTGGTGTCTGTGCTGCCGAAAGGCCAACCCTTGTGCCTGGTGTGTTCCTGTTCCTGCACACCTACCAGCGTGCTAGGCTGGCACTCTTTTTTAATGTGTTGGCACCTGCCAGGCCTGTGGCTTCTTCTGGCCATGCTGTGCTTGGATGCGTGAGCAAGTTCTCAGATTATCCATCTTTAAGTGGTTTTATTATGTCTCATCCCAAAGCCAAAAGGTGGGATTTATGTCAGCTATGAAAGAGAGCAGAGATTCACAGGTACTTGTCTGAAGTTACCAGCTGGGCTGAGATGGTTGTGCTGTTCTCAGTGTGCCACAGGATGGGGTTTGCCCGCTGGATGGCAAATAAAATACGTACTGCTTTCCCAAAACCAGCTCACGTCACCCGGCTTTGTTTCTGAGATATTTCTGTTTCTGCAGGTGCTACAAAGCAGTGAGTGCCAGTGGCAAATGGGAATGTGTAGAGCAGTTTACCCCCATCAGGCTAGTCAAAGGCAGGATTCAGCACATATTTCAGTGTGGTGAACTCAGTGTTCAATTCTGTTCTTACATTCTTTTATTATTTGAAATGTTCATGCTTTGAGCGAAGAAAAGTAAGTATTGTTTCTGGAGAAGGGTAACGCATTGTACAGTTCCATGAATGTTTCCAGCTCCAGAAGTAGGCAGCTTTAGGCTTTAACGTTTGTGGCTCGTTTTTAAAACATAAAAGTCAAGTGTTTAGGTTTTCATGCTTATGCTATGCTACCTTGTTTTGACTGTGACCTGATTGTATTTTGCTAGTTTTGGGGATGAAGACCCCTTTTACTATAATCGATACTGTGTTGCATCTAGAAATCACTTTGAGTAATGCTGATTTCTGAAAGTGAAAGCTCTGAATTTAAGGAAATAAGTGCAAACTGTAAAATAATTACAGAGACATCCCATTTTTCATCTCTTTAACTTACAGGCAGAAATTTTTCAGGAATTTGCTGTTCAGGAGGAATCAGTGATGTTCCGGATCAATTTGTCTGTTCTTCTTGACTGCCTAACCATTTTTGGAACCAGCTCTTTGCCAGGTGTGGTATGTTTCCTGTGAATACTTGCAAGGCTGTGTGGGTGCTGCAAGATGCACTGTGTACTCCGGTGGAGTGGAGTGATACCATGGCAGCTCCTTGGGCAGTTCTACTGTTGCAGCTGTATATTGGACTCCACATTTCTCTGCCGTTTTGGTTGTGAATGACCTAAAGACCTGAATCAAGTGATTTTGGGAAACCAGATGTTCAGGGGGTGATTGTGTTGCAAAAGAAGGGTGTGACTGCAATGCAAGCTAAGCTGCATTAACTTCAGTTTGGGTTGCACAAATTACAACAGTAGTAGAACAGCATGATGTGAGCCACAGAGCCTCAGGACCATGGAGGATTTTCCAATTCCTCTGAACTAATTGTAGCATATATAGGTAACATTAACCTGCTTGGTAGATTAAATGGTTTGGATTTGAACTGTCTACACACAAATCATTTCGTTTTGCTGCATAACACTTCAGACTGCGTCTAGGAGGCTGCACTAAGTAATGTAATGTATGTATTGGAGGCTGGACCAAACACACTGAATCAAATTGATCTGTGCCTCTTGTGCCAGTAGCATGTGAATTTTCTAAAGTGATCAAGTGTACTAGGTTTGCTCTCTGCAGAATGTATATTTCATTCTCTTTTTCAGGAACATCAACGGCCCTTAGGATGTGTTATCGTGGTTATGGTTATCCCCTGATGCTGTTCTTGGAAGAAGGGGGAGTAGTGACAGTGTGCAAAATTAACACTCAAGAACCTGAGGATTTGTTAGATTTTGATTTCTGCAGTACAAAGGTGGTTAATAAAATCATCCTGCAGTCAGAGGGGCTACGAGAAGCATTTGCTGAACTGGATATGACCAGTGAAGTTCTGCAGATTACCATGTCTCCAGATAAACCCTACTTCAGGTACTGGAAACTCTGCTTTCAACTCAAATGTTTATGCTTGGCCTCCGTTGGTGAGAACTGGAAGTTCTCAGGGTGGAGAGAAGGGTACTGCTTCATTTCAGGAAGAATTTTAATGAATATAGCAAATCATAGTATGTAATCTAATTAACATAGTAAACAGTTCTCAACCTGGTAAATGTGACACTGGTTTGGACAGGTTAGCATTTTTAATTAAGCGGAAACAGACAGCTATGTTTTGTGAGAGAGCCATTGGAATATGCACAGTGACTCATTCTGATAAGTTTTTAGAGAGCTGTGAGCAGGTATTTCGAGATGGTGCTTTTTGTCTTCCAGGTTATCCACTTTTGGAAATGCTGGAAGTGCACATCTGGACTATCCTAGGGACTCTGATTTGATGGAAGCATTCCACTGTAACCAGACTCAGACAAACAGGTTAGGAAGTCTGTCATCCATGCCCTCTGTGCCAGGTCATGCATTCTTGATGAGAAGTTTAAAAACTGTTCTTGCATTACTGTAACATTTATTTCACTAGTATGGGGGGGAAAATATTTCCTATCTGATAAAAATCTGTGTCTGTAATCAAAAGCTAAGTGTTAACAATATCAGTCTGATGTTGTTACCAAGTAAAGACCAAATAGGTATGTTGCTAATTGTTTTTTATTTATTCTGTGGCATTGTTTGAGAGTAATGTTTCAGCTCCTCTTTGCACAATGTATTTTTTCAGATTGCTTTTTCTTTTCCTGTAGGTACAAGATTTCTTTGCTTAAACCATCTACAAAGGCACTGGCTTTATCTTGTAAAGTGTCCATTCGAACAGATGCTCAAGGATTTCTTTCACTTCAGTATATGATCAGGAATGAAGATGGACAGATCTGTTTTGTGGAATACTATTGTTGCCCTGATGAGAATATTACTGAAGCAGAACTGTAGATGTATGTGCTGGCATCTGTAATATATTTTTGTATTATATAAAATATGATATTTTTTTTAATAATTAAATGAAGGCTGTAAAGATTGATAGACTTAATATTGTCCTTTTTTTTAACTCTGGAATAAGAAATCTGAGGACTTTAATTTTCTTCCCTTCCATTTCTTAGCTTGACTCAAAAAAACTGACTCCAAAAAAGCAAAAAGTGGAGTTGATCTCCTGTAGACACTGGTTGCAGCACAGATGTTAAAGTAGTGTTTGCTGCTTTTTACAATGTTCTCCAAGAATTTTTGTTTCTGTTTTGTTTTTTGTCTTTGGCTTGTAGTAAGCAGTTACACAAGGGAAAATCTGAATACTAGCTGTATATTAGCCAGTTAACTTTCAGTGACTTAAAACCAAATTTGTCTTGAAAGAGGATAACATTTTCAAAGTGATTTCTTAATAGCAGCAGGTGGTTTCTTTCTGGCAAATGCTGACATGTTTTGTCAGTGAAGCCACTAGGCTTCTCCTCATCTTGATTAATTCTTAATATAACTCAATTCCTTGGAATTTCATCAATACCAATTTACCATTTTGTCTGCAGTACTGGTGTTGAATTGGTAAATTGATACAGAAGCCAGGATTTACTTACTCATTACTCACAACTGTTCTGGCTACATCATTGTTTATTGGATCAGTAATTTATTACACATCTGCAAGAATGCTGCTGCTGAAATGTTTCTGTATGTACATGACCCTGTTCCTACCCTGCTACTCTCTACTAGTGCTGTTAAAAACCATAAGAAGAGAGAAAAGTTTCATATTTAAAATGATTTATGAAATTTGTTTATCTTCTCAGTAGCCTTTTTCAGCAACAGGAAGCACTCGTAAAGTGGAGTTTCTATAGCCTTAGACTGTGGTCAAGTTTTGTTGTTTGTCAGATGAGGTCCTGCTTTGCAGTTATGGGAAACAGTAACAGTGTGTTACCAGGTGGATTGCTCCACAATCCAACAGAATCCTTACCAGGTGGATTGCTCCACAATCCAACAGAATCCAAGGCCTTTGGGATTATTTTAAGTTTAAAATACTTCTGTTTCCCGTTTTTCACATCTTCCTTATGTCATCAAGAGTATACTTTCAGAGTGCACATTGTTAGCAGCTCAGTTTTGTTGCCTTCCATGCAAATCGTCCGTTTATTGCAATAAATTTTACATTTGAAAAACAATTACAAATTTTTGAACTACAGGGCTGAT